CCAGAGCCTAAAACTATAATTGTTCCTCTCACTTACAACGAAAAACGCATCCATACTTTGTCATGTGGAATTTTGCTTTTGACATAACAAATAAAAGCCATAGGCTCATGAAGAAATTATAAACTAACAATATAGAAACTTACAGTCAATAGAGGCCAGAATTTACCTATCAAATAAAGCACAATAAAAATATACAGATGGTAAAATTGTGAAACTGGTGAAACACAAAAGCATGTTTGAAATTGGAGCTGTTCAAGTACTCAAAAAGGCTGAAGTCAAATACTGCTGATTTGTCTGGTGGGGGAAAAAAGTGTTTCATCTCTGCTATTACAGACAACGACAGAGGATGCCAAGCAGCAGGAGAAGAAGAACGACCAGCCTCCTCAGGCCAAGAAGCCCAAAGTAAAAACGAAGACACTGGAGCTGCCCATAGAGAGCAGCTTGGACTGGCAGCTTTCTGGAGAAGAACTAAATTTGTTTGTGGAAAATGAGGTAATGCTGTAAAAATCACAGGGAATGTGTGGTGTGCATGCACAGTGTTGTCTCAAGCAGTAATGCCTAGTGATGCTCACTGGCCCTGGGTTAAGCTGTCCTTGTTACCATTAACATTTAAAGAAGTGGCTCCATAGTGTAGCTGTTTACATGTATTTGTCTAAGCAGCAAAAGATAGAAACGGACATATTAACAGCCCCTAAAAATTGACAACTCTTGATCATTTGATAATTAATCAGTTAATCAAACCATAATATCACCTTTTTTTCTTTTTCTTTTGACATGTGTAACATCAGGAATATACCTGAAATTGTAAATATTGTCTTGCTTCATCCTCGGGTGTTTGTTTTTTTTGTTTTTTTTTGTTTTTGTTTGTTTTTGTTTTTTTGGTGCACACTTAACTAAGTAGTTAAACTAATGTAGACTTTACTGTGACTCCTCCAGGGTAAGATGATCATGCAGGATAAGCTGGAAAAGGAAAGGAATGATGCAAAGAACAACGTGGAGGAGTACGTGTATGATATGAGGGACAAACTCCACGGCATCCTGGAGAAGTTTGTGAATGAAGCAGTGAGTACACACCGGACACGTCATCATACACTGATCGTCTCTGTAACATTTGGATTCTGTTCAATTTAAACTAAGTGTAAACCTTCAGTTCAGATGAAATGCATGCGTTTAATGTTAAACATGAATCTTCACATGCAGGATCGCGATTTGTTCTCATTAAAACTGGAGGACACAGAGAACTGGCTGTATGAAGATGGAGAAGACCAACAGAAGCAAGTTTATATCGACAAACTGGCTGAACTCAAGGTAACTACGCACTCATTGTATGACTGGACAGTTTTATGGGAGGGAAAAAAAGACATAAAATGGTTCACTATACAGATATTTGGAATAACTTTGCGGCCTTACTGACGATGTTGCTTTAACAGAAAATTGGCCAGCCTATCCATGAGAGATACGTGGAAGCTGAGGAGAGGCCGAAAGCGTTTGAGGAGCATGGGAGACAAATCCAGATGTACATGAAGATAATTGAAGCTTACAAGGCAAAGGTAACCAGGGTTTGTTGTTGAACTCTTTATACAAAGTTTTAAGAACAGCTGTAGGTCAGACGTATCACAGACTAAGCTCAAGAATCCCCAGACGTTTGTCAAATTTACTTTTGTGTGCCCCAACAGGATGAGCTCTATGATCATCTGGATGAGCTGGAGGTGACCAGGGTGGACAAGCAGGTAAACGATGCCATGGTCTGGATGAACAGCAAGATGAACCAGCAGAACAATCAGGACCTCACCGTGGACCCAGTGGTCAAAGTTACAGAAATCAAGGCCAAGACTAAGGTAGACATTAAAAGCACACACACACCACTTGCATGCTCTTTACGAGAGCTTCATTATGGGCTTCCTTAGGGTTTTAAGGGCTCATTGTCTACAATTAGTAGACAGTAATATAAATATGAACATATTAGCAAAGATTATCCAGTATACTTCTGCAAATCACAACCTCTTTATTTGGAAAGGAAAGTAACATCAACTTAAAAAAAATCTTAACAGAATAAACATGAATTATTATTATTATTTTACCTTAATAATCATTAAGATCATTATTCATCATTATCTTTTGTTTTCCTTATACTGACGGCCTAAGAGCATCTGAAGATTTCAAAAAAACCCAACGGCAAAAACGACACTCAACAGTCTTGTAGTATCTGCCAAGCAGTTTGAAGTAATTTGTCATTGTGATATGAGCTGAAGTAATTCAGTTTAAAAGTTGTGATGTCATGTTCTAAGCATGTGTATCTTTTTACTCTTTAGGAGCTTTATGCATCCTGCAACCCAGTGTTGTCTAAACCCAAGCCCAAACCCAAGGTGGAGCCTCCTAATGAGGAGAAGACGGAGAATGGGCCGGTTAACGGACAGGAAGGAACAGAGACCCAACCGTGCAACCCGGACAAAACGACGCCCGCGGGCACGGAACAGCAGACACAAACGCCAGAGAAAAATCTCCCTGAAATGGACATTGACTAACTGTTTCCACTGCAGCCCCTGAGTTTTACTTTCCTCCTGAAACAGAGTTCTGTCCTTCCTCTGAGATTGTTCTTGATGACCGAGTAGCCTCTCTCAAAGACACAGACGACAGCATCTCTAATCAACACTACGCATCAACCAGCCTCCTCAGCATGCCATTTCTCATTTTGTTTGAATACAAAAAATATTGCATAATAGTAATACTGAACGGACTACTTAATGACAGTGGTTGTGAGCGTAGGATGGAAACTGCTTTCTCTCTGTACTGCTTTGGTGGGCTGTATTGTTAAAAATGACTTCAGCATTTCCAGAGCAAATGTAAACTATGAATGTCAGATATGAAAAATTTGTAAGCAAAATAGCTGTTCAGGAGAGAATTGAGATTATTGAAAATGTAAACTACTGCAGTATGTCTGAGTGTAAGTATACATACAGAGGCACTGGTAGTTAACACGGGTTGTTCAGAGTTGTACATGACAAAATTGTGCTCCCCCACCACCACCACAAACAATTGTAACTTCGGATTATAATGTTATTTCGTTTAAGTGGAAGTAGGGAGTTTTTGTTGAGTTTACTTGTACCGTATGTTTGAACTATATACAACAAGTTACTGTCATGCAGTATTTCTTTGTTGAGCTTTTCTCATTCAAAAGCACTGGTGTGTCTGTTGTTCTCTGGTAGCCTTGAATTTTTTGTTTTGGGAGGGGTTTTGTTTTGTTTTTGTTTTTTTTTTTACTTAAAAGTGAATGCTGGTGCAACAAATCACCTTTTTGGGTGTTGCTGTTGTTGCCACGTCACCAAAAAGAAGCAAAAATTTAAAAAAAATAAAATGACTTATAGCTGAAAAAAGTTTTTTTTTGTCTTGAACACAGTAGTTATTGCATATCCTACATCCAGTTTTCAGAAAGAAAATAAGGTTTATTTTAAATGTAGTTTTGCAAACACTCTACAAACATCCTACAACCTTGCACAATACACTGCTCCAAAAGATTAAACACTTTTTAAGCAGAATATAACCTCAAGCCATTTAAACTTCTTGAATATTGATATGGTCAGTTAAGTAGGAGAGGGCTGCTAGTTTTTGACCGACCCGTAGAAGTGGCCGAGGTAGTCCAACTCTACCAGGATGGCAGAACAGAAGGCCATTCTTAACCAATCAACAGGACCGGTATCCGCTCTGTTGAGCAAGGAAGAACAGGATGAGCACTGCCACAGCCCTACAAAGTGACCTTCAGCAGTCCACTGATACAGTCAAAAACATGCTTTGTGAGGAGGGCCTGGCCTCCTCTAGTGGGCCATGCGCTTACTACACCATTATACCACCAGCAGGCTAAAACATTAATACGAGGCAGGATGGATCCATGCTTTCATATGTTTTACACCAAATTTAGGCTGTCTGGACATTCTCCTTTGACCTCTAGTGTTAACAAGGCATTTACTTACAGAGAACTGCTGTTCATTGGATGTTGTTTTACTTGTGTAACAGCGTCATAAATCACATTGTTATAATTACACAAAATGTGTCCTAAACCCCCAAACTGTTCCTTTTATACCTGACTTTTAGGACCTCCAAGCCTTTAGTTATGTTCATTATCAGTTAGAGCCCCTCCTCATTCTTTTCTTCTTCTTCTTTGGTGCAACCCTATAAATACAGTGTACCCCTTTTGCCTCTTCCCTTTTCTACAATTCCCCTCATCCCCTGTGGGAGAGGTGGGTGTCATTTCTTTCCCAACACTGTAAAACGCTCATATAATGCATATTTAGCCACCTGGATGTTTCTGATTGTGATTTTAGTTCAATTATTGTCATTATTAAGCCTGTTTTTTGTTAGATGTTATAAGTGTGTAGTATGTGTGTATCATAAATATGTTTTAGGCGCCATAAATGCTAGCATGAATATATACTTCTTGCTAGCTTGGAAGTTGTGGTGGGTTGAGGTAACCCTCTTCCCCACTGTTTGTATTTGGTCGTAGGAGCTGGAGTGGGCAAATTATTTACTTGGAGGCCTTTCTTTCTTTTACCTTTGTTATCAGGTATGTCGGATTTTGTGTTGTTGTTTTTGTTTCATCTTATGTCAAATATGTTACGTGTAAATCCATACTTTATGTTTAATGTAAAAATAAATGCCAGCCCTTTTCTACAATTCCCCTGTGGGAGAGGAGCTGGAGTGGGCAAATTATTTACTTGGCCTTTCTTTCTTTTACCTTTGTTATCAGACACAACGCAGAATCACACCGGTTACACTTGTTCAGACCTTTCTCTGTAAACCCAAGACATGTCTTTGTAGGAAAATCCCAGTAGAACAACAGTTTCTGAAATACTCGTACTGGGAATATTTTAAATCACCTTTCTTCCCCATTATGATGCTCAGTTTGAACTTCAGCAGGTCATCTTGATCATGTCTATATGGCTAAAAGCACTGCATTTTCATGTGATTGGTTGATTAGATATTAGTATCAGCAAGTAAATGAACAGGTGTACCTAATGAAGTGGTGTGTTTACTAAGATTCGTACAGTCTTACAGAGGTACAATATTTATTTAAATACCATGAGGTTGCTGCTTCTTAGCATAACAAAATTGCAAGTAAAGATGTCATACACTCACAAGCCTGAAGGTGACGCGCCATGACAGAAAGAAGTCAGGGCAGGAGTCATTAGTGCTTTGGCCGCATAAGGTAAGAAACATTGAGTTTTCCATAGCTAATTAGTACTTAGAAGCTTAGGGATCGTATGCAGGGATTCTTAGTTGCGTAGACGAGCTAAAGTGCTGTGTTGCTGCTACAGAAGGAAAGTTAGAGGACGGCCGAGATCCCCAAGAAGCCACTGTTTGAGCTAGCACAGCAAGCTAGCCTGGATGGGTTTCCCCTAGTTACTTTGATAGTTACGGAGCTGTCCTCTAGTTTGAAGCTGACTCACGGTTCAGATTTAGTTGCTGTTAAATTAGGATGGAGTTAGGAATACGTCTGACATAGATAAGTAAACTTTTTCTAGCTAGCTTGCTAACTTTTGGGCCACACTGTAGCATGACGTTAGCTACGGTAATCTGACGTTATATCACAGGAAACTGTACTTTGCTCTCAGGTGATTAGTCATTGTTATATAAAAAGAGTCCCGGGAAACCCACGGTTAACCAAGCTGCAAACTGTGAATGCAGGAAAATGTTATGCTTCTGAGGACAAAATGCAAGTTGCTGCTTTGGTTTTTAGCTTTCTGTCAGTATTAACGTGTGCTAGCGGTTTGTCAGGATTTGTTATGATATTTCTAATAATAAATGTTTGTCACACACTGTTAATGCAGGAATGTAAATGTCTGAGGACAAGGAAGCCCAGGAGGATGAGCTGCTTGCTTTAGCAAGTATCTACGATGAAGAGGAGTTTCACCGGGCAGAGTCTGCACAGGGGGGAGAGATCCAGCTCTGTCTGGAGCTCCCTCCAGATTTCAAAGTGGTAGTCAAAGGTACAGCTGTCCGGTAGGCTTTGCAAAGAAAGAAAAGCAAGCTGTGGGGAAAAAATCGGACAGGTTTCATAATAATAAAGCACTTTTCAGGATGCGTTGGAGAAGATGGGCTAACCCTAACCCTCTGTACCTTAATATAATTTTATTAAGATAGTCCAGATTCCTGAAAGAAATGGCAATGGGTATATGGTGATAAACATGATTAAAGCTTAAGTAATTATTAGTTTGTTTTATTCAAAGATTAGAGATAGCTTTTTCAAACTGCATGTGGCCATTTAAGATTTTTACATTGATATTTTCATCTTTTCATTTGCGTCCTACAGAATTACTCTCTCCTTCCTCCATCTCACCCCCCTCCTCACCTCAAGCCTCATCTATGCTGAAGTCAGGACTTTAACATAAGAAAACTTGCATAAACATACTTATTTATTACCGATATTGTCACAGTTAGTGTCAGCAGGTTAGACATGCAATCCTCCCCGGTCTCCATGTAGCTGACAACAAGCTCGCTAAACAACAACATGTTGGACTCAAGTGTCCTAAAAATTCAACTTTCCCTTATATAAATATTTGATTACCTTTTCATATCGTATGCGAGTTTGGCTATCCACAGCTAATATGGGGTGCAGAGGGTTAATTCAATTATTCCCTCCTAATCATGCACTAATAAGAAATGTAATGAAGTCTCTTCTGTCTATCACAGGAGAGAATAAAACTGAATATAATGTCTCCTTCCTACCTCCTTTGGTGGTCAACTTTGAGATTCCTGCAGACTATCCCTCTACATCCCCACCGCTCTTCACTCTCAGCTGTAAATGGATGACCAGAGCACAGGTACGGACTCATAACAACTCAGATAATCCTTTATTGTGCCACAAGAAGTACTGGACATGTTGGGATATTCAAATTGTGAGTCAACAGTACATCGTAAATATCAAAACCTTTCTCACCTCAGATGAGCTCTCTATGCCGACGACTGGATGAGCTGTGGGAGGAGAATCAGGGCTGTGTGATTCTTTTCACATGGATCCAGTTCCTCAAAGAAGAGGCTCTGGGCTTTCTGGGTATCCAGTCACCTCTTGAAATCATAAGGGGAGGAAGTAAGGCAGGTAATGAGTGAAGAAAACCTGACCGTGCAGTGAAAATTAGAGCATAGATACCTCACACCACACACTATGCACACTGGGACAAACTGACTCAAAACATTAGATTTGTTAATGTTATTTAACCTCGCCATGTCTTCTTAGCCGTTAGCTGAAATTATCCACATTCCAAAATAGCATAACATGGACACTGTCAGTGCTTTAGCTGCACTAAGCCTAAAATGAACATTTTGGATGCTTCTCAGTTGCAGAATACTTGGTGCACACGTAGGCATTCTGGGTGTGAGGATCTCAGTTTTTTCATTGTTTTGCTGATGGCTCCCTAACATCTCATTGGTGGTATCCACTTTTTTCCCCTGAAAGTTGAACTGGAAAGATGGAAGGTTGAAAGCTATTAATTGTTTCCCTGTCATGTGCATTGGTACACACACTTGTACACATTGTTCACATCTCAGGCATTTTTTTCTGTTTGTAATTCATATGTACAGATTGCATTTTATGTTTATAAATGGTGTAAATTTGTCTTTTGCTTTTTTTGTCCTAGCTATGGTGCAGTTTGCGGGCCATCCTGAAAAAGCAGAAGAAAAGAAAAAAGAATTGATGAATTCCAAGTCTGAACAGAAGTTTTCATCGTCTTCTCAGCTGGACCCGAGGACTGTCCTTTTGATGGACCCGCGTGCCGACCTTCTACCTCAGCTCCTAGACTTTGACAAGGCGCAGCGGCAGAGGGTGTTCGACAGCAGAGTGTTCTGCTGTGGAATCTGCTTTGTAGAGAAGCTGGGCTCAAACTGTCTCTGCTTTAAGGAGTGCCAACATGTATACTGCAAGGCCTGCATGACTGAATACTTCCAGATCCAAATAAGGGATGGCAATGTTCAGTGCCTTAACTGCCCGGAGCCCAAATGTACCTCTTTAGCCACACCGTCACAGGTATTTGTGATTTATGAGTCAGTTCAATTAAAGTCCAACTCACCCTACCGTCAGTGCCTACCCTGCTTTCCTTTCCTGTCTGCCTTTATGTTTCAGGTGAAACAGCTCGTGGATGAGGAGCTGTTTGCCAGATATGACCGTTTGCTCCTTCAGTCCAGTTTGGACCTTATGGCTGATGTGGTTTACTGTCCCCGTCAGTCCTGTGGTACCGCTGTAATGATGGAGCCAGACACAACCATGGGCATTTGCTCAGCATGCCAGTATGCTTTTTGCACACTGTGCAAGCTCGGGTATCACGGTGTCTCCCACTGTAAAATTCGTGCAGGTAATGCCACTGAAACTTTAATAGTTTTCTTTAGAAGCAAATCTGATTGGTCAGTTAACTCGACCTACAAATTTTGTAGTAGAAACCAGAAAGTCTCCAATATCAAGATGTTGTCTTTGTCCACCAGATTCTGTACATTGGTGTGAAGATTTCTTTGTTTAAAGACATGCCATCAACACATCTTCATGTTCAAACCAGTGTTTTGTTTTGTTTTTTTCCCTACAGAGGAACTGCGTAACCTGAGAGACGAGTACCTGTCGGCTACTGCTTCGGGGCAAAAGTTCATGGAGCAACGCTATGGGAAAAGGGTGATCCAGAAAGCAGTCGAGGAGTCCTTTAGCAGAGACTGGCTCAGTGAGAACTGCAAATGCTGCCCGCGCTGTGGAACCAATATACAGGTTGGGCTTTCCCTGTTGTTAACAGTGAAGTAGAACTGGCTTTGGCTTGAGCATCATGGTTCAGATTTTTGTAAAATTGAATGTTTATTGTCATCAGATGGTCTCCAAAATGAACTGCAGCCACCAGTCAAAAATTGCTCCTTAAAACGTACTGGCCTAGAGACATCCTAGCAACTAGTGATGGGCAGATGAAGCTTCATGAAGCACTGAAGCTTTTCATCCAATTGGTTCACCCCAG